GATTGTCCAGGAGCCCCAGTGCCCAGGGCCATTGATGGAGTATGCCCCTCATCTCCTCGTGGCTCTGCTCTTCCAAGTGTTCATCACCACAGAGCAGATGTCAGAGGAGGTCGACAGCTTCTGGAGGGGATGCCGGGAGCAACACGACCTTCCCACTGACCCCAACAGGTGCTCCATCCCAGTCCTCCCCTGCCTCCCATGCCCTCGGAGTGGGTCAGGGGTCAGGACTCCCAGCATGACCTGGGCTTTGCTCTGCACACAGGTTTGCAGTGCTGAGCATGAAGGCCCTGCTGTGCTGCCTGCACTGCGAGGATGTGGTGTGTTCAGTGGAACACAGTCGTGGCTGGGCGAGGCTCCTCAATGCTCGCAGCCGCCGCTACGCAGTGGCTCTGCTGGCCAGGTGAGACCCCCTTGTCCCCGCTGCCCCTGTCCTTTCTGCCTCCCAGAGTGCCCTCGATCCCTCCCGGGCTGGTGGGGAAAGACCAGGACTCTGTGAGTCCATCCTGGGAGGGGTTTGCCCACTGGGCTCGGGGTCAATGGTGCCTTTTTCCCCCTGACAGGGAGATGCGCCGTGTGTCCAGCCCCCTGTGTTCCCGCATCACACTCCACCTGCTGGAGCTGCTGAACAGGGAGGAGCCGTGCTGGGACCTTGCTGCCATGGCATTCCTTGTGGAGGTGAGCCTGATGGCGAGCGCTGCCTCGCCGAGCTGCCTCCACCTCTCTGCCCTCTTGGAGGGCCCAGCCCTCTGCGGCTCTGGGCTCCTGCCGGCCGGGCACCCCGTCACTGCTCCGTGCCTTTCAGGTCCTGGACTGCCTGGACACCAGAGAGTGCGGTGACAGGGTCCTGGAGATCCTTTCAAGGAACCTGGGGAGCACGGACAAAAAGTGGCGTCAGCTGGGGCTCAGAGTCCTCATAGCACTCAGCCAGGATCCCGTGATGGTGAGAAGGGGCAGTTGGCTGAAGCCGTGCTGGAATGCTGGGGCTGGGGAGTGCAGTCACTTGGGCTTGGCTGGGCTTTGGGAGCTGTGGCAGCTGCTCCCAGCTCTGCTGCCTCCTCCTTCAGCTGCCCCAGTCCCTCGGCACAGGCCTTTGGCCTCGGGGCCCTGCGGCAGCACGTGGGGCTGCCCCGACAGAGCGGGGTTGGGGCTGCAGCCGTTCATGGCTTCACAGCACAGCCTTGTGTTCCTCACAGGACAAGGGCCTCTGGAGCCTGTTGGACAGCCTGGTGCAGCTCCTGGGGGATGAAGACAGAGATACGGTCTGGATGACCCTCTCTGTGCTGGACAATGTGCTCTGGAGCAGTGTCTGGGCACAGCTGCAGAAGAGGGTCCAGAGCAAAGACCCCCCAATATCCACCCCCACCGGCCTGAAGTTGGCTGAGGCGCTCCGGCCACTCTTTGACCACGTAAGGCTCTGTGCTCCCCCACGGGCTCTGGGTACTGCTGGGAAACTTTGTGCCCTGTGGATTTTCAGGTCTGTGCCCAGTGGGGCCTGGAGAAGCTGGTGCTGAGATCTTTTCCTCTTTCTTTCCACCAGGA